ATAAAATATTAAATTAAAGAAATTATACAAAAAACATAGCTTTAAATAGTTAATTTGATATTAATATCGATATATTATTATTTTTTCCAAAATTTTATGATATTTTAAATTTCTTTAAAAATAAAAATAATATCGCTTTCTCAAAATCATATAAAAAACGCATTATAACATCTACAAAGACGGAATAAAACGAAACATTAAAATCAAGATATATCTTGATACATTGCGCGAGTACCCTTTCTAGTTAAAATAAAATTGTTAAAATTAATAAAAATAATAATATAAAAGGAATGTGTTCAGAAACATGAGTTCTAATAAGTATCTGTGAGTGGACAAGAAACTTTCTCTTACAGTGTTAAAAAAGGAACTTCAATAGAAACTTTCATCATGGATGCTCTAAACAATACTAAACATCTCAAAATAAAGAGATTTCTGGAGTTCTATGTAATTTTTTTATACATAATTTACTTTTATTTTTTATAAGTTTAAAAAAATTAATAGCAAAAATAAGAGGTATTTTTCATCCCTACAGTTTTGAAATTACAAAATAACTATCGTGGTTTATAAAATCGTTTGCATTTGGTTGCTTCCTCTAATAGTCATTAAAAATTCCATTAATGAGAGATATTTTTGTCTTTTATCGATTTTTTATCCAATCAATATAAATTTATGATTTTGGTTCTTGTAAATTTTAATTGGGTGAAAAACAGAAAAACGATAAACAATATGAAATACCGTTATTTAACGACCGTTAGATGGAAGATCAAATTCTGACGTTTTTTAAACTACGAGGACCAATTGTACTTTATTCTAAAACAATCATTTTTTCTATTAAATAATCTATACTATATTATAAAACATTTGACAAAAACTCTTAAAAATCATCTTTTATACATGATGTACTGCTTATTGATACATATTATTTAAAATTCAAGATTACAAGTAAATTGTGCATAAGCATGATTTATTAAGTTCAATGTTTGAATTCGTGTAACTAACTGTAGATAAATATAATTAAATACAAGATAAAATTATTATTTTAAATATAAAATCTAAAATATAATTAGGATAATTATTAAGTTATAACATAATACCTAGTTATTATCCTTATAAAGATTATCTATACTATATTATAAAACATTTGACAAAAATTCTTAAAAACCATTTTTTATGCATGAAGTATTGTATATTGATGCATATTACTTAAAATTCAAGATTACAAGTAAATTATGCATAAGTACAACTTATTAAAGCTCCAAGTTTGAATTTGTGTAACTAACCGCGGATAAACATAATCAAATAGAGGATACACATTTCATTTTAAAATATAAAAAATCTAAAATATAATTAGGATAATTATCGAGTCCTAACAAAATAATTAACTATTATCTTTATAAGAAAATTATATCACTAAACCAAATATAAATTACTTCGTTATTGAACTTAAATTAAATTATAATTAAAAAACTTGAATTAAAAAAATTACACAAAAAATGAGAAATTTTAAATAGTTAATTTGATACTAATATCTATATAATTTTATCAAATTTTTATGATATCTTCACATTTATATTTTATTCAAAAATAAAAATATCATCGGTTTTTCAAAATCACATAAAACCATATTATAACATCGGTTGAGATAAAAAATAAAATGAAATATTAAGATCAAGATGTATCTCACTGCATTTCGCGAATACCCTGTAATATATATAGAAACATATCTGTATATATGCTCACCTTGAGAACAAGATTCATTGCATAATAACAATTATGCTTTATATATAAGCATCAGGTATATATATATGTATGCGTACCATCAGACTCTTCTTTTCTGTCATATATATATAGCAGTTGGTTTATTGACAGTTTTATGGTTCTTTGATGGTGAGAACAATTCTTTCAGCCCCATATAAAAACTTCTCTGGCGCCATTTTACATCTGTCTCTCACAAGAACACACAGAATCCTATTTAGTTACCAAAGGCCATCAAATGGTAAGGAATTAAGAGTGAATCTTGAGAAAGAATGGGTGATCAATCAAACAATCAGAACCCATCTTCATCAGTCGCACAAGGTACACAATTCAAGCCCTAAATCTCTTTACATGAATAGATTCAATTCTGATGTGTTAATGCTATTCATGAACTTAAATTAAGTCTAACAATTGGTATCAGAGCCAATTAACCCATCTAATTGAATCGTGTAACATGAATCGCACAAGCCACTGTTCGAAAATCAAAATCGAGGGGTACTCGATTTGAACAAGTCGAAGAAGTAACAGCCGATCAAAACCAAAATCGATTGCATAAGAAATCGATTTCTATATTGACAAACCAAAATCGATTTTGTACATGATAGTAAAATCGATTTCATAACTCGATTAAGAGCAAAAACGATTTCTGTTACGATTTCTATATCGACCAACTAAAAATCGATTTTGTATACGATTGTAAAATCGATTTCATGACTCGATTAAAGCAAAACGATTTCTGTTATGATTAAACCAAATCGATTTCTATCCAGATTAAGTCAAAATTGATTGGGCTCTGTTTTGACCAGTTCATACTCTGGCTTAATTGAATTCATGTTTCATCAAGGAATCTTCTGTATAGTCGTATCATTTCATAATCTTGTACAAATTGCTTTCTGGCTTGTTTTCGATTCTGTATGTAGAAGCATGAATGTTCTAATTAGGCAGTAGATAATTCTTTTACATATAGATTATACAAAATCTTTAGATTAAGATTATACTAACAATCCACATATCACCCAAGTGATTCTGGATTACTGTGATTCAAAGTACTATCATAATAGTCTTGAATCACAATAAGAGGACTGCAAATTGAATAAAATTGCAGATTCAACAGTGACTGTTTTCTTTCACATACTGCCATAGCAGTTTGATTGAAACAGACACTTATTTATATCAAAATCTTCGAATATGATATGCTTTCTCAAAAGGGAATCAAATTCGAAGTTGATATCTTCATTTATGATCAAAGTATGTTAATTTTTCATAGCTGATCATTTTATAAGATTAAACATGACTGATTGAAAGGACCTGTTTTGTGATCAGGATCACCAAGCAAGACAGATAGACAACAATTTCTGTCCCATACAGCCCACTATCCTATGAGTGTAGTTAATTTTGCACCTCTAAATGGTGTAAACTATAAGAAATGGAAGGAGGACATTGAACTTATGTTAGGGATTCTAGACTATGATCATGTCCTTAAGGAAGATCCACCACCAGAACCAGCAGATAATGCACCTAAGGAGATCAAACTTAAACATCAAGAGTGGCATAAGCATAATAGAATGACCCTGATTTATATGAAGAAATGTATAACTGATGCTGTCAAAGGAGGTATACCAGAATCAGACCTTGCTAAGGTATACTTAGCCTCAATAGCTGATAAGTACAAAGTTTCTGATAAAGCAGAAACAGGTTACCTCATGAATAAGCTGATTAGAATGAGTTTCAATGGACAAGGAAGTATAAGAGAATACATATTGCAAGGAATTGATACTTCTTGTAAACTTAAGGAAATGAAAATTTCCATTGATGACTCATTTCTAGTACACCTTCTCCT